ATTATAAATGTATATGTACTAATTAATTATCAGATTTTTTTTTTGCCAGTTAAGCAATCCAAAATATGGGTGATCTCACGGTATCTCAATTCAGCCATAACAGATCATAGAATGATCTTTAATGAACATTAATCAGATCTGTGATTAGTGTATAACAATTTGCCTAAGAGTTATATGAACGAGTGATTCAACATAAATATGTAGAGTTGTTTTTCGGCATTTAAACTGATGTCATTATGTAAAAAATTACACTATACAAAGCTACTGTATACCATAAAAAGTGAACTGATAGTAGATTATCTAAACACTGTCTCAATGACACACATCGTTATTGAACTCACAATCTACCTAAAATACCTTTGGGCTTGGTACACTCAGCAATGATTCGTAAAGTAATGTCAAGTGACTTTACGAATCATGACTCACAAGAAGGGCAGGCTCAGAGAGTTTTTTTCAGGTTACCTAATTTAACGTGCAATTCCTTGGCCATGTCTTGGTTTAGTTAATATTAGTTAATTATACATTTTACAGAGTTTTAAAAATCTTTGTGTTGAGGGAATACTTCAAGCACCATAATCACTATGGAATGCCCCACATTGTAATTAGAACAGTTTGACTACTCACTTGGGGTCAACTTGGTGCTGCTCCTTCCCGCTGGTTGAAGTGAGAGTCAATAGCATCAGCTGATCGCTTTAAGTCGATGAGCTTAGTCCTGCACTACCGGGCTCAGTTCAGGCAGAGGGCTTCCAGCTCTCACTAAGTAGTAGTGGAGCCGACTCTTGGTAAGAAACCATTCTAAAATGGTTTGGCTACTTACAATGGGTGGAGGTCAGGGCATTCCTGGCACCATAACAGCTACAGTTTACTGTTGTGGTTATTGTGCTTTTTGAAGTTCTTTAGGGGTTAACTGGCTTTGTCTTTTGTCTTGTTTCCTAAAAATGCAGATTTCAAGAAAACCACCTTCAAGCTCTCAGTCAGACAGACAGTAGGGTCCCCTTCCCCATTTCCTATATCCCTTGCTGAAGGCATAAATGAGTGCTTCACATAGAGAGAGAAGCATTTGTGAACGTGCCCTGACTCTGAACGCTTCACAGTGAGAAGCTTTCTATTGGATGGGAGATCATCACTAGTGGTGATCTACTGGAGATGGAGTGGAACTGGGTTGATGATTACAGGTAAGTAACTTCATTATGAGGACACTGTGGGTGCCTCTTAAAACTAAAGTAGAAAAGGAACCCTTCACTGTTAGTTAGAAATGTTTTTATTTCTGATGTTGGAGTAAATAGTTAGAGAGCGGTACTCTATATCTTGTCATGTATATTTAAGGGGAAATCAGATTGCAACTCTCTGTAAATTGATTCGTAAAAGAAGTGGAACACTCACTAAATTGTGTTGTTCCACCTTTTTTTTGATAATCACTTTACACATAATTTTGTGTGAATTTATGGGGAAAGCACTTAAGGTTTTCTAGCAGGCAATCAAATAATTAGATGATATTTAGTAAATTTAGGAATATTATTGTTGAACCGTTTTTTTAATCACGGAAAGGTTTATGTTTCAGATTGGAGCTCTATACCATAACCTTGAGCCCCTTTAAACTAGTATCCATATATTATATGTCAGATTTTCTACGAAAAGATTGGTAACAGCATTGCACGGGATGAGCATGCTCATATAAATCTTGAAAATTACACAGCATCAATCTCTAAATAGGGATACTTGTAAATTGCTGTTATAATTAGACCATCCATTATTTCAAAGAATGGGTAATTTGAAAGAACAGTCAGTTATACATTGCTATACCATGTGCAACATTTACATATCATTTACATAGCTAGGATTCCACTAAGGATCGCCAACTGCTCAGTGATGTATATATTATTATACAGGGTATCACTGTCTAACCAGAACAGTTACATTTATTGAATTGACACAGCATATCCCTTCTGCCTTCCACTTATAGAGCCTATGGCTAGATTTGATCTATGCCGACACTGTGTCATACAATCACCTGTTCTCTTCTTGAATTTCAGTGTGACTTTCTGGAGGCATTTACAGTGTTATTTAATACAGTGAGAATTCAAAGTGAATTCAAAGTAACTTTCAATTTTAAGGTCGGAATAGTCAAACTAGAACTTAAAGAGCAACACTGACTTGGAGAATTTTCCAATTCGGCTATTTTGACCATAAATTTGAAATTTACTTTGGATTCTCACTTTAGTGAATAACTCTGTTAATTAAAGGATTACTCCAAGCACCATGGTCACTTCAGTTATTTGAAATGGCCATAGTGCCTGTGTTTCGCTATGAAATGCTGCACATACAAAGTTTAACCCCTCTGCAGGCAGAGGTGTAACTCCATTTTCGGTAGACTCATTGGTGTGTAATCAATATCAATTTTGTGCATAGAATTAGTTGCGCAGAATTTCAATCATTAGCTAAGACCGGTCAACTGATGCTCCCAGCCAATGAATGGTGACAGCCATGGATTCCGGCTTCTGCAGGTCCGCAGAAGCCAGAAACGTAACACTGGACCACTAGGGCGTCAAGGTTTGCCCCATTACTGGGGAACCACGCCAGGGATCTCCTGGCATCATACTGCAGAAGGATTAAACCTGTGGAATGTTGTGTGGTATGTTGCTATTCAATTCATCCATTGGCATCAAATTAGCATGTTTAATTCTTATCTGTTAAAACTGGATCAGATTGCATGTGCGTGAGATATTTTCTTTGAACATTTTCTCTTTGTGCCAGGACATAACAGTGTTAAAATGGAATTGACATCAAGACCTTTGTGATGCCAAATCATAAAGCAGTTTAAAATAGACTTGGAGATTTGTTTCTGTTTAAACTGCAAATTTGCGGCGATCGGGTAATCGTTAGAATTCCCGAATTCAAATCCAATATGCACCATGTTTCTTTTTGATTAATGATTCTGGATTCTGCCCTTGCTGCCAAAAAGGAGCTGATTGATGGCTAGGGGACAGTCACTAAAAGTTGATTTTATTTACAGATCAAGTGACAAATAGCAGGAAAAAATAAGGAGCAGTAAAAAATAAATAAAATCTTTATGTATCCTTTTCAATAACATGTACACAATTAGAATTCAATATATACAAATTCAATTTCTAAAATCTCTGTGTGAATGATAAGGTTTAGAATTGTATAATAACCAGAAATTGGAAACATTTTTTAAAAGACTGATTCTTAATGCAAAAAAACCCAACTTAAAATAGTGAATGCTTATTGGATTATCAAATGTATTAAATAAAGATAAAGAGAACTTGATTACATTGCATACTACACAAACATACATTTTATTAGATACTACAAAAAAAATTAACTTTTTATAAAAAGAAGAAAAAATATATTAAAAAAGAAGAAAACGATGGATTGTCTTAGACAGGGTGGGCCAAAAGTGGATTTACTATTTAAAAATTACATAACTTCTTTCATTCTAAGTATTATTATTTTTATTTTTTTTAGCACTTTGCAAATATTTATTTTTGTTGCGCTTAAGAGTACAAAACATCCTGCAACACGGTCTGACAGGTTGAATGGGAGCCTTGGAGTCTGCCTCTGGTGCTTGCTCTGACCAAATCACCTCACTGCAGCAAGTGGTCCAGGGACTTCAGCAACAGAATGAGGCACATGAGCGTTGTTTTGCTGCCCTGGAGGACGCACGTCGGGCTAACAATCTTAAGGTCCGGTGCATCCAGGAGGACACTCAGGCAGCTGAAATTCCACATTTACTGAGATGCCTACTAGTGACCCTGCATTAACCACAGAAGGCTAAATTAATTAACTTGATAGGCTTCTTTCGTGCCCCAAAGCTGGCCAAGGCACCAACCATTGCACCTTGGGACCTCATCATATAGTTCCGGCAATATACAGACAAAGCCACAGTAATGGCAGCAACCAGGAATTGTTCACCCTTTAAATTTGAATCGATGGAACTATATTTCTATACACGAACCTCAGTGGGGGCACACTGGCCTGGCAGAGGTCACTCGGGCCATTCACTACGCTCCTGCAAAAGCACGGATTATGATACCAATGGCAGCAGACTCGTACACTGCAGATCCTGCATGGAGAAGTCAAGCATGCGGTATGTGACCTCCAGGAAGCGAGTAGTGAGTACATAGAGTGCACACAGTGGAAGTGACAGTGCACTTATAAAGTGCTATGTTATGTATATAATAAATACAATAAAGTGCATATGAATTCCAAGTGCAAAAGGTGATTATAGTAATAAAAACCTTACTATGAATATTTAAAATTTGAACATAATTATCTCCCAGAGATATATTGAAACATAATGGATGAAAACAAAAAGAGAGAAATATAGTGTGATATTGTAACACCACAGGAAGTAATGTAAGCAAATGAAATAAACTCACAAGGAGATCTGAAGAAACCGCTTAGGTGAAATGTGTCACCACGCACAGGTACGTACAATGCCATCACGTGGTCGAACGACGCTCATAATCCTGGAAGTACTCCCCATTGTTGCTGCAGCTTGGAGACCGCTAGTGCTAGCCGCGTGTTTTTAAAGACTGCATAACCGAGGAATAAAAACTTAATTTGGGTGAAAGAGCTGAATCATTTGTTGTGATTTTTTTATCTTGTTTACAATAAAGAAAGAGTTTCTTAAAATCCAGTTGCCCTCCTGGTCATCTACAAACTCCCAGTCCTGAGTATAAGGACTAAAGCCAGACAAGTTAGAGCAGACATCCACTGCTCTCTCCTTGTGAGTTTATTTCATTTGCTTACCTTACTTTCTGGGGTGTTACAATATTACACTATATTTTCTCTCTCTTTGTTTTCATCCATTATGTTTCAATATATCTCTGGGAGAAAATTATGAAGTTCCCATTTTAAATATTCATAGTAAGGTTTTAATTACTATAATCACCTTTTGCACTTGGAATTCAAGACACTTTATTGTATTTATTATATACATATTATAGCACTTTATAAGTGCACTGTCACTTGCACTGTGTGCACTCTATGTACTCACTACCTGAAACATGCCGGACACTATACCGCAGTGTACCAGGGCTTCTTAGCTAATTAATGAACGTGTTCTGTAGTTACAGTTATATTGTTATCACAAAATGCTAGTATGCTTATTACACCCCTCGGAACGGATGGTCCATCGACCATATTACTCCTCTCCCCACGCCTGAATCTAGCCTTACTCGCCACCCGCGTATAATGCTGTCATAGTCAGGCATAATACTTAACACCTCTGTGTGCATCTCTTCCCACATGAAGTGGCCTAGTTGAAACGTGCCCTTGCATATCTGACCAGCCACACTCACCTAGGCGGTAGTACAGATTAGGATGTAACACACAAAATCCTAATTTTGTATTCCTTGTGTTCTTTTATTTTATTTCTCTAAGTGAATCGACTTCATACTAATCGTTTAATTGTCTAATCATCTAATCACTTGTTGTATCTTAAATTGTTCCTAAACTCCAGTCTAGCTAGTTAACCCCATGTAAGAATGTATGACATTGCTAGTCTAGACCAGGATTTCCATCTCAGTATTTACTCCTATTATAACAAACATGTGCCATGTATCTGAAGCCACATTTGTGTATACCTCTGTCTAATGCTCTGTTTGCACCAGCTGTTGTGGCAGAGCAAACATGATTGTTAACCAACGCACAACCTAAATAAAGAAGTTTGACCTAAAACATCCTGCAATGCCACAACTGCAAACACAAGAATATCTGGTAACACAACGAGATATATTGCATGGCATAAAAAGTTATCGAAAAAAGAGTAATGCATTATTTCGATGGAACAGTGCAATTTTATAATGTAGAGGTCACAGTAACTTTAAGTAAACACGTCTAAATACCAAAGAATGATAAGACATTAGAATAGAAGAGAACTACAAGACGTGATGATAGTTAGGGGTACACACAGAAGGTTATTACGCCTAAAATGAAGTGACCACTGAAACTAAGCTCTCAGGAGTATAACTACACTGCACATCTTATCATGAAAATCGTAGATATCATAACTAAAATTAGAATTACTGTAGAGGGTGAGAAAAGTGGACACAGGAATATAAGGCGATGTGTCAGCATGCATTAGGGCGACATCCAAATATGGCTGGCTTTTGGCCCAGGTAAAGATGTTCAGAGTCAGCCTATGCCCAAGCTCAGGAGGTTATGGAGATTGTTAAGAGGCACTACGAAACAGGAGCCAAGTAAAGTTTCCCTCCAGCCCCAGGCCGTGATGAAGTTTTTGGTAACACTTGACGGATCCTTGCAGTTAAAATGCCGAAACAAGGTTTTGAAATATTTTGAATTAATTGAATATGTTCTTTTAGTTAAAACAATGGAGCACTGATGCTCAAAGTAAAATTCAATCATTTTCACACATTGTTTTATCGGGCATCTTTCCATTATGTATCTCCCAGGGTTACTTTTTAAGGACCTAAAAAAAATAAAAATACAATGTAAAACAGCAAAAAAAAAAGATTTTATTTTTAAATGGTAAAGTTTTGTCCCACCCTGTATTAATTTGAAAAAGGACTACATTTTTTTTTTTTAAATATATATATATTTACAACGGTATTTTTGCAAGCAAGGTTCACATATTTCATATACTGATCCCAAAACATAAATAAAAGATTAGTCATAATTGTGAATTTCCCCATCTCCATAGTTATATAGATCACATATCCTAAATAAAGAGGAAGGAAAAAAGACTTGAAAACACAATAAAACCATAAATATCCCTAAAAATGTATCTATATATATTTAAGAAAAACACAAAAAATAAAAATTCTGAATTTGAAATAAGTGGAATGATGGCTATGGGAAAGTCTAAATGATGATTTTATTCATAGATCAAGTATTACTGACCTGAGAGTTAGATGGAAAAATAAGGAGCAGTAAAAAACAAAAACAAACAAACAAACTACATGTATATATTATGTATTAAATAAATATATAATACATACATATTTACATATAGATTGATTTTATGCTTCTTGTCTTTTTCCCTCTATTGGCTACTTTTTCTCTTTTGATCTATGAACCAAATGGTGGATAAATGCTCCTATCAGTGTACTGCAAAATATATACATAGTATTATATTATGACAACGGACCTTGCTCTCTTCCTGCCCGTTGAAAGCTACTTATCAAACCACAGATTCTTACTGGTTGCTGCAATCACATGATCATGACATGTAGGGCCTTTCTCCATAAGTAATGGTGGGAGCATTGATGGTTATGATGTTTCCATTGCCACGTTAAGATTTGTCTATGATGAAAATTAAAAACATTAAAAAAGAAATTCCAGTTAGACTTGGAGCGAGTGTCTTAAGACTGCTACCCATAGTGCTTTGCATGTGTTGCACTGTTATGAGTTGTTCTATCTATAACATATGTGGTTTCAGAAGGACTTCATATTAATCCCAAATTAATCCTTCCTTTTAATAAATGGATAATTCTACTCAAGAGCATTTGTTTTCAAGTTAACAATTCTGTATAATGAAGTTATTATACAACAAAAAGACATGTACTGTTTTAAAATTAAATACTAGTCTCCCTGGTGGTTCATATTTTTAATAGAATGTTACTTGTTCTTATACAAACCTTTTTTTCTTTACCTCCAGGAGTACAATCATTACATTTTTGTAACATTTATTACAATACAACTGCACATAATTGTGTTTATTTAACGTGTGGCTCCCTTCTTTTGTTCCTGTGATTACATTATTGGATTTCTATACCATTTCCTTATACCTAATTTTTATATTATTTTTTTCCCACATCAATTAGTGTCTATTGTTTTCAAGCGTACATATTTATATATTTTTTACTCCCGTGTTTGTGTTGTTCGTTCTGTAAAAGTACCTTGCGCTACAATGTTGATCAGTTTAGGAATTAACATATAGAATGCAAATAATCAACAAAGATGAGAAGGTCAGGAAAGGAAAAAAAGCTGTTCAACTTTTCTCACATCACCCCACTGTTTATCAAGCGAAAGGCATTAAAAGAAAATAAACAAAACACTGGAGTCATAACCAATTTAGCTTCAATGGAGGAAAAAATTGCTTTCAGCTCAACAATTGCCATTGAGTTATTCCCTGGATAAACACCCAGCATTCAGTTTATATAAAATGGTCATAACTCTGCATAAACGTCTGGATACTCGAGAATATCCAGTGTATCACTGCAAGCTCCATTGTCAGATTGACTTCACATGTTTAATGTTCTTGATATGGAAAACCCTTTCAGCTGTCAAAAAGAAAAACATTTTTCTATTCTTCTGATAATCTTTATTGTTGCTGTACAATACATGGAATGGACAAACCCCCCAAAAACATGAAAGGTTGGTTTTGACCTGGGAATATTAATTTTCAAGTTGTTTTCTCTTTTGATATTTCTTTCTCCTACATATTTCAACTACAAACGTTGTCTTATATTTCTTTGCCGTGGTGTTACATAAATGTTGCCAGATTTGTGAGTGGACTTGCTTGGGAGTACTGTACTGAATTAGAGGAACCTTAGGTAGATCAAGTACACCTCAAGCCCAATTGAGTGGCTCTAAAGCTAAAACAGTTAGAGAAATGACATACAGGATCCAGCATGCATGCTAACTCACAAAACACCATCTTCTAAATGTATAAGTTTAAAAAAAACAAACAAAAAATAACGGGAATTAAGTGACAGTGTATGATCATACATTCCATAAGCCAATGTACCACATTCTTGGCAAGTCCTATTCTAGAAACCTAATGCATGCTGTAACGAACCTCATGTACTTCGTAAAGTACGTTTGTTCACACACTCCCAAAATGCTAGAGGCTTAGTGATTATAGCCCGTTCGCATAGTACGCTGATTCGAGAAAATCCAAGCTGGTTATGAGAATAAATCAATTGGTTCATCGTTCGCATACCCAAGCATCAGTTGAGACTTGATGAAGGGTATGACTGGACTGTTTTATTATGGCCAGGGGGCCCACTTAAATACTCAGACCCCCAGCATGGGGTCTCAAGCAAGGACATAGTATAACACTCCCACAACACGCCCAAGAAACTCCCAGGCATCTCTGTGTCTGGGAGATAATTTAGTGTACTTTGCTTAAACTAATTATCTTCCAAGCACTAGAGGTACAAATCATAAAACCGGCATTCGCAAGGTCGAGTGTCCGAATTTTAGTTCCAGACACTCGACGACCAAGTCCCGCTGCCTGCTTTCGTGTGACAAGATGGCTGCCTTTTTCTCTAGTACGTGTTGTTCGGTTATACAAATGGTGGCCACACAGAGAGAGCACTTGAGTTTGTGGTTTATTTGAGGTTAATGAGCCAGGGGGGTGGTCGGTGTTCGATAGATCCATCTACCGAATGCAGGGAAATTGACTGGTTGAATAAAATACAGAGTTTTTGTCACACCTGGTTTTATGAGGTTAACCCATGTATTTTGGAAATCTTTCCTCTTGTGGCTCTGTAGTGTAGGGTTAAATAGGGTCCTGGAATAAGGCATCTTCAATGGGGATTGGTGCAAAACCAAGGGAGTTGGCCTGGATTCCCAAATATAATTACATATGAAACCAAGAAGTCTGCACTCACTTAAATATGCATACATTATAGGGTGCTGCTGGGGCCAGTTCATACAACATACAGGATTGAGCGCACTCACTCACTCAATAAACACCAACTTTAAAGCTCACAAATGTAATTGTATTAAAAACAAACACCTGACTTGGGCAAAAATAATGGCGATTTATATGCAGTTGGAGAAAAGTGGACTTTAGAGGACTGAGCAACAGGTTTACTTAGTTGACCATGAAGAGAGAACCTCCTATTAGAACATGTTTGTGGACTTATGGTTCATGCTGAGATATATATGACAACACAGACATTATGCCATTGTTATGTTAACATTAGTGATGTCGCGAACCTGAAATTTTCGGTTCGCGAACGGCGAACGCGAACTTCCGCAAATGTTCGCGAACCGGCGAACCGCCCGAAACGCTATTGACTTCAATGGGGAGGCGAATTTTAAAACACACAGGGACTCTTTCTGGCCACAATAGGGATGGAAAAGTTGTTTCAAGGGGACTAACACCTGGACTGTGGCATGCCGGAGGGGGATCCATGGCAAAACTCCCATGGAAAATTACACAGTTGATACAGAGTCTGGTTTTAATCCATAAAGGGCAGAAATCACCTAACATTCCTAAATCACAATCAATATGGATTGACACCTGACATATGACATATTGACACCTTGACATATGGATTGACACCTGTCCTCAGAGCCCTGATGCACACGGACACAGAGCAGAATAGAGACTGGTCCCCCT